AGTGGACTTACGTTAATGGCCTGCTGTGTGGTTTGGTAACTTTGGGACTGTGCCTTTTTACTTGTCAACCTTGGGGCTTCTTAGCCTCAGCAGCCAACAGCTGTCTGAGTGAAGAAATGCTTCTAGCTCCAGTGGTCCGGGAGCAGGAGGCAGAGCTGCACCCCAAGGTTGAGGGGCTTTCACTCAGCCCCTAGAGCCTGGCACTTTGAATTCAGACTTAAAGCCTCCAAATTGTAAGAATAAACTCCTGTGTGTTAAGGCCATCCCATTTGTGGTATATTTTTTGTCAGAGCGGCACTAGGGAACCAGGACACCTAGTGAAAGCATCTCAAAGTTCAGGCTGACAGCATGCTATTCCTTATTTACTCTGTGCCCCAAAATATAGGCATTCTATCAAGATTTGACCTATCCACACACCTGCTGTGTGCTTTTCCTCTGAAAGAACCTACTTGGATCATACTGGTTTTTAAAATCAAACCTGTTTTTCTTTTCAATTGATGTTGTTTCTGCCTGTCCACAGGCCCTCTTTATAAAAGATTTCCTTTGCAGACTGCTGTCTGCCATTTGACTGAGTCTGCTGGGGGTAGCAGGCCTTCTCAAGAACAGCAAATGCCCATTTTCCAGAGTGGGCAGAGACTAGGAGGTTCTGGTAAACTTAATATTCTAATTGTCTCAGAGTGTCCCCTTTTACAGTCCCCAGCCTCTGGCAACTCACCAAGTCTTCTTGGAAAAGCAAGAGCCAAAATAATGTTTGTGATAAGTTTGAGCACACAAGACATATTGGGGTTCATTTGTAACAGGTTCTAGAAAGAAGTCTGGGTGAACATTCTGGTTGGCTCTGATACTGCTTAGCTGAAAATTACTACAAGGAGCCCTGGCAGTGCAATGGGTGAGTGCTCATCTGCTAACTGAAGGGTTGACGGTTCAAACCCACCCAGCAGCTCCATAGAAGAAAGACCTCATAAAGATAACAGCCTAGAAAACCCTTTGGGGAAGTTCCATTCTATCACATGAGGTCTCTATGAATCTAAATTGACTTCATTGCATCTAACAACACTAGATTGTAACAACAACAACAACACTTGATTCAGAGTAAGTTTGTTGAACGTATACTGTACGTTGCAAATGAAATAGAATTAAAATAGCTTATGGTTTTCAAATGTGGACATTTCTTGACCAGTAAAACATTTCAATGTAATAATGAAAGGCTATGAAATGAGCTTGTAGAGAGGTGTGGTTAATTTCTGCTTTATGTAAAATAGTGACTGTCTCTTTATTAACTCGGTTTAAAGCTGTTACTGACACAGTCTTTAAAGTGCTAATTTAGTCAATTTTTTTTTTGCTATTTCATCCTTTTTTTTTTTTAAGCAGATACTCTGAAACTTAAGTCAAAATTTTTGTTTCTGCCTTAATGTGATCTTCCTGGACTGTGAATATAGACATATCTATCCCTAAAATGAGTTTTGAAATAGTTGATGCCTTGTAAATTCCACAACCCCCTCTAATTTACTATTGAATATCATGAAGGGATCGTTAAAGTCATTCCAAATCTATCTTTGTGAATCAAGCAAAAGCACTGAAAACCCTATTATCACCCCAAAGCTAGTTAAAATCAAATTTGCCTTTCAAATGAAAACCAGTTGTCAAGGGTGTTTGAGTGTGAGGCACTCTGATAGTCATTGGCTGAAGAGCCACTATATTCTCTGTTTAACCATGTGAGTTTCTCTCTCTTTCTCTCTTTCAAGAAAAGAAAGCAACTGTGTATTGCCAAGGGATAAGACTCTATAGTCCATCAAATTAGTGTAATTGAATTTCAGAGTCTGCCTTTTATCGTGGGCAAGTGATTGCACATTAGACTTGGAAGAAGAAAGATTCAGTCAAGCTTTCTATCTTTCCTTGTCTTTGGAGGCCATCTGCTGAGCTCTGTTTCTTCCATTAGCCTTCGTGGCTAGTCATAAAAAAATGCAAAGCTCTTTAAATGATGAAAGGGAAGGAGTTGTTTAAAAGGGTTTGTTAAGATTGAAAGGGGCTGTTTCTCCCCTCACATACAAAGTGTGTGGCCCTCTAGGTCATCGACTTATTCTGGATAGAGTAAAGTGATTTTTTTTTTAATCCTCAAATTTAGAATTGTTCCGTGTAAGCCTTGAACTCCCCCTGCCAGTGTAAAATGGAAGATTGCCTTTTAAGTGATAATGATACATTTTACTAGCAATCTGTACATTTGTTTTTAAATAGATTATGCTATTTTTCCAATGAAACTATTAAGGCCTATATTACCCTATTTGGCAAATGAAGAAACCACAGTTCAAAAATGGTTGGGTGGTCTTGGACTGATCAGTTGCAGACCCTAAATTCTTCTTCCTTTGAAAAGTGATTACTATTCTTATGAAGCCAAAGGTGAAGTGCTTACCTCTGTGAATATGTCACTGGGATGACTGCCATTTACCTAATCTCAGGTAAGCCTTATAAGACTTTAGAATTTCTTCTTCCAGTAAAAAAAAAAATTTCTCATTCTAGGCATAGTTTGATATCATGGGTCCTCCTTTGAAGCTCTTCAAAAACCAGAAGTACCAGGACTTGAAGCAGGCATGCATCAAAGATGGAAGACTTTTCTGTGATCCAACCTTTCTGCCTGAGAATGATTCTCTTTTCTACAATCGACTACTTCCTGGAAAGGTGGTGTGGAAACGACCCCAGGTAACTTTCCACTTTCTATCTCCCTTAGTGTAACTCTACCTGTCCTGCTACCTGTCACTTACATAGACTACTATGTATAGACCAATTTAGCAGGCAACTTTAAACAAGAAAAAAAGAAAAAAGTTTCATGGATATAAGCTCCTGGCTATAGCTCGAAGAGTTGTACATCTCAGATTTAGTAGTTTTAAAACACCCACAACAGTAAAAGAGGTCAAAGGAGATAGACCATGCTTGTTTTCTTTTGGTGGTTCATTCAAATAAATATGGTAATTTGAAAAGTAACTATATTCTTGTGTCTCTGTTGGGTTACCTATAATAACAACTTCAAGATAATCTCAAAGCAGTGAGGAAAAACTCCTCACACAGTGAGTCTCTGTGAATAAATGAAATATATACTCCACAGGGACAAAATGGATTTTGCATTGTGGGAGGGAAATCTCTTTGCTGCTATTTGGATACCATTAGCTGTATTTTACTATAGCTGCCAAGGTGGCATCCAAGTAGAATTGCAGTTCTTTTCACCACCTATTAGCAGTTACTATGGTTCTCTGTAAAGACTATAGCCTAAGGAAGCGTATGGGACAGTTCTACTCTATCATATAGGGTTGCTGTGAGTCAGAATCCACTCGACGGCACACAACAACATTATGGAACCACCACAAACACCACCAACTCAAGGCTTACCTTTTTCAATGAGCAAACTGCCACTTTCTAGTTGCAATTTCCAAAGCTTAAGTCATTTGACTGCTAACCAGAAGGCTGGAGGTTCAAATCCACCAGCCACTCCTCAGAAGAAAGGTTAGGCAATCTACTTCTGTAGCGATACCACCTCGGAAACCCAAGGAGGGGTCACTATGAGTCCAATTGACTCAATGGCAGTGAGTTTTTTTGTTTGTTTGTTTGACGGTGCAGTGGTTAAGGCATTTAGCTTCTAATCAAAAAGGTCAGTGGTTCAAATCCACCAGATGCTCTGAGAGAGAAAGATGAAGCAGTCTGCTTCTGTAAAGATTACAGCCTTGGAAACCCTGTGAAGCAGCTCTACTCTGTCCTATAAGGTCATTATGAATCAGAATCAACTTGATGGCAGTGGGTAAGCTCCTAAATGGAGTTTAAAAGCTGCTTCAGTGTATATAGGTTGCCATCAGCTGGTTCCAGGACAGTTTGATCACTTCAGGGCTCCAGTCTTCTATGCTACTCAAAAGGCATGGTTCAATTTATGCCCCTTAATAATGATAGCCATTGAGAATATTAGTGTTGGAGAAGTCTTCTCCATCAGAAGGAAGATTATTTTCCTCATGCCTTTCTGTGGCTACAGTTGTTGACATTCCTGTAGGTGAACTTTGCTGACCTGCCATAAAAATCTGGAAAGCATGAGCAGAATTCACTAACCACTAATTGAGTATGCAGAGAGGTAAGACTTTCTTTCTTTCTTTCAGAAGTTCACTGAATGAATAAAGATATGTTGTCTGTGAGCCACTCTCATGAATGGATGATGATAATGAGGGATGACCACTCTTCTCAGATGCTTGGATATGAAGGACAGGAGGTCAATAGGGCTGAAGTAGCTAAAAAGGGGGCAGGGAATTGAGAGAGATTTTTTTTGAGGAGGTGTCTTTATAATAGGACCGACCTGAACATATTTATAGGTTAAAAAGTAACCAGTGAAGATGGAAAGGTTGAAGATGCAGTGGAGAGAGGGAATGATCAATAGGGTGAGGTCCAGGAGGAGGTGGGAGGAGATCTGGTGGGCGGCAAAGTTGCAAGCCAACATGAAGCCATTTCCCAGATGTGAGCCAAGCCAACAGTGTTTCCTGTACTGGCCAGTCTTTAGACACATCCTTCCCCCTCTGTCTTGGCTCAGTCCTTTGTCCTTTGCCTTCACCTTCCAAATTTTGTGGACAGAATCCTAGATGGATTAGCAGGGAAGGGAAAAACTTAATAACCATGGCAATAGTCCATGTTGCCTCTGAGGCAAGCAATATGCCTTCCAGGGAGAGGGAATTTCAGAGAGAGGGTAAATGGGGATGGAGAGAAAAATGAACCAATATTTATTGCATGCCTGCTATGGCCAAGACACTGTATTTATGGAGTTTCCTATACATTTAGTTCATCCTTATTCACTATGACTTAGCAAAATAGGTATTTTTTTAATCACTTTGTTTATAATTATTTTTCCTAGTTTTGCAGCAAAGATAGAAATTATTATGTTTGTTTTATTGATTGGGAAAGTAGGACTCAGAAAGAAGGTAGAAATTTGCCCAGTGTCAAAATACTCACTAGTAGCACAACTGGAATTTGAACCCACATTTGACTCTAAAATCCATATTCTTTTTCACCCTATCTTGTGCCATTTCAGAGAGATGGAGTTGTTGGTGTCGTCTCCTTTTGTAAAATATGTAGCTTTTCTCCAACCAGTTTCTCAGATTCCTCCTCACTGTGCTGTATGCTGTGCTATACATCCATTAATTGATTCACAGTATTCCTTTAGAGAACAACTGTGAGCTTAGTCTTATGAAGCCAGAAGAGAGTTTCTCCAGAAACATTTGTTGAACACCTACTCTATGCCAGCCTCTGTGCAAGATACAGACCTATATCAGTTAAGGGCCTCTGGTGAGGCACTCTAATTCTAGTTGGAGATATTTCTATTGAGCTTTCAAAGAGCTAAATAATAATGCCAGATAAAAGAAGTGCTATTTTCCACATACAGACAGTATATTTTGTAGGGTTTGCAGAAGGAAAGAATATTGTGGATTGCTGTTATTGAGGAAAGGGCCTCTTGTGGGGAGTAGGGGGGAAAAAAGCTAAGGTTCTGGACCACCATCTGAGCCTCCTCAAAAAGCTTTGGATTTCTTTCCAGCCAAAGTGGAGGCCAAGCCTGTGGTCAAGAAACACGTCAAAGTTCTCTGGCCTCCCCTCAGGAAAGCTGAGAGACAGTGTGGGCCTCTGAATTGGCTCAGGAAGATCAGATGGGTCATTGGCCTCCTTGCCTCATTGGCAGGGTTGAGATTCTGATTTGCAGGGAAGATTACAGACATCTTGTCCCTTAGCATGCCACGTAGCCTCATGCTCAAACAGGGCTTTTATCTAACGTCTCCACAATGGAAGAAGCATGATTAACCTGATGTTTTCTGTCTCATTCCTCCCCCATGTTGCAAAACGTTTGCCTTTATAGGCCTCCAGGCCTGTAAACACCATTAATATTTGAGCAAACTGACTCCAGTCTAGCCCCCACCATCCTGTGCCAAGATTGGGTTCCCTTCCCTCCTACTTGTCACTTCCTTGGTGAGTCCTAAGGAGTCACTTTAGATAGACAGGAATTATGAGAGTGTTTTGCAGTTGTTCAAAGCCAGGTCATCTGTTCATATCCTACAGAGGAAAATCCTCCTCCTTAACTCCTCCAGTGGTCCAATGCCCCCAGCTATCGCCTTAACTTCCTGGGTGCGCAAGCATATTACTTGAGAACATGTGCTCCTGCACTTCTGTTGCCCTCCTGAGGTCTTGAGATATAAAGTCTTCATAAATTCTAAAAGCTGAATTATACTGAGTTACAGTGTGATCACGAGACTGCAGGTAAGATTTTTAGCCTCAAATCTACCTGCCAAATTCCCATAGGAAATCTCTTCTCCAGCTCTCTCCAGGCTTTTCCTCTCTCCCCTAACCTCTGTCTGCTTCTACTCCTGACTGACTCATACCCAGCTATAAGAGAGTCCAACCAAAACCAAACCCACTGCCTTCGAGTGGATTCAGACTCATAGCTACCTTATCAGGCAGAGTAGAGTTTCCAAGGCTGTAAGTGAAGCAGACTACTACACCTTTCTCCCATGGGGCAGCTGGCAGATTAGAACTGCCAGCCTTCCGGTTAGCAGCTGAACGCTTTTAACCACTGCACCACCAGGGCTCCTACAATGCAGTCAGACACATATAATCCTTGACTAAATGGAGCAAAGCATTATGGGAATTTGAACCGCCAGCTGGTGGGGGGTATGGCATTTGCACAAGATCTTCTGTCAGCTTTTCTGGTCAGATTTTGAGTTCAGCTTCTGCTACCACTACCTCTGCCCTAGTCTAACTCTGGGATATACCCTCCACTGTGGTCATTTTGCTACATTTTCTGCATGGAAGAGGAGTCATGAGGTTCTGATTCAAATCCATGGTAGTAGGAATGGAAGGGAAGGGCTGATGAGTGCAAATGTTAGAAGCAGAATGTACAAGCTTAGATGATAGACTACAAGTGAAGGAGCAGTGACAGAGGAAATATTTCTCTCTTTTTGCTAAGAGAAATTGCCAGCTACCGCCTGAATGCAGCATCTCCTCTGGACAACAGTTTTGGCCTAGACAGTTCATGAAGTTTTCTTCCCAGAGATCGTATCCACCTATTGGAATAGTCCTGAGTGATTTTCACTTTCTACATAATTAAAGAGAGTTGAATAGATCTACATCCTTTCTCTCCATCTGTCCTATTTATTTTAAATTCTGCATAAAAAACTTTAACAGCTTTATTGAAGTCCAATTTATACACCATAAAATTCACCTGTTTTAAGTGATTTTTTGGACATTTACAGAGTTGTTCAATCACCACAATCACTTTTAGAACATTTTCATCATCCTAAAATGAAACCATACTCATTAGCAGTCACTCCCCACGTTCCCCTACCTCCAGCCCTGTCAACCACCAACCTGCTTTCTGTCTATGAATTTGCCTATTCTAGGCTTCTCATATATAAATGTAATTATACAATATATGACTTTTTGTCACTGGCTTCTTTCAGCTAGCATAACATTTTCAAGGGTCATCCATGTTGTAGCATATATCAGTATATGTATATATTGAATGGATATACAAATTCTTCTCAATAAAGCAGTTAGGGATTTATAACTGGAGTCTCTTAGCAGACGTCTGAAAGTTCAAGTAGGAAGAAAATTACTTAGTGACTTGGATGTCTAAATTGGGAATGGAAGCTGGATTTAAAATGAACAATGGATCTTATTCCCAGGCTCCA